ACTTGTGTCTACCTTCCGATTCTGTTATTCCTTTTTACCGTAAAAGGGGATAAGTATTCTTGCCTTAAAACTCCTTGTCAAGAACCTTACACATTTTAATACGCGCATGATCTGGTGAAGACCTCACATTTACTCATCATAAGCATGATGCAAAATCGAGTCCTCTGACTTAGCTCTTCCACGGCTATATCTCTTACCAATCATCTTTCTGGATGTAGGCATCGTCGTATTTACGAATAAAATGAAATTTAGGAATTTGAATTCCTACGACTGAGCTCTACCACACGATCTAGAGTAAGAAGAAAGAGTGACAGTCCTAGATGCTCTGTAGCCTCCTGCTTATAAGTGTGGTGCACAACACACCTATAAACAAGACTCTACTAGACACGGCTTGTAGACTCCCCAGGACAGAACTGCTCTGATACCACTTTTGTCACGACCCAAACCGATAGGCCGCGACGGGCACCCGGTACCTTACTCAACCGAGTACCAACATAATGTATCTTTTCATGTCATACTATCATAGATAACTGAGCCGGAAGGATGCCGTAAGATAAGTAGAATAAAACATGTGATACCAACTTATACATAAGACATACGGGTCTATAAGACCAAAATAACCATTCGTATACTGAACATAGGCCGACAAGGCCATACAATCTTTTACGTACATGACATCTATCTACAAGCCTCTAAGCATACATAATTTTTCATAAAGGTCGGGACAGAGTCCCGCCATACCAAACAATACACGTTTAAATCATACTAACTAAACAGCAACTCCAAAGCGAATGGAGCGCACCAACATCTTCCGCTGAGCTGATAGCCTACTTGGAGGGCTCTCGACCTGTCTATCAGGACCTGCGGGCATGAAACGCAGCGTCCCCGGGCAAAAGGGACGTCAACACGAATAATGTACCAAGTATATAAGGCACATAAATAAGTACATAACAGACCTGGAAGAAATATGGAGTAAATGACCAACCTGTAAGTTTGGATAACTATGCAAATCATGAAATAATTATAGTATCATGCATATGCGCATGAATATCATGTCGTGCATAGGTACATGTTTCATAACATCATCAGGCCTCTGAGGGCATCACATCATATCATCTCGGCTACTGTGGGCAAAATCATCAACGTATACTAGCTGATTAGGTGGTGGTGCGTATATAATGCCGTAACCTTTTCCCATATCCCATATATATATATATATATATATATATTATATTAACGCCATCTGGTCATGAGTCAATGTGCATGTATAAATACATGAAATGCATATGAAATACGTTAATAAAATCTCTCAGTACGTCATAAGACCATTATACCTCTGATTAATATCATGAAATGAGTAGTTCAGATAGAATTGAACTTTTGATCGATCCGGGTACTTGGGATCCTATGGATGAAGACATGGTCTCTCTGGATCCCANATTAATATCATGAAATAAACTTTACCAACTTACATATTTTTGAGACCCATGAACAGATGATAGAATAATATGACACATGGGAAATCAAGAACATAAGCATCTCTAGTATTTCTATTAATAGAGTCATTTATGAAAGTTGTGCATTTGCTCGTTTCGTTCATGTCGTATAGATCATGTCAAAAAGAAATAAGGGATAGCCTTAACATACCTGAGTAGGGAAAAATCCGTATGATATTCTTGGAAAAGGTTGCACCGTACTCCCTTAGAATCGCAAAATCTCACGTTGCTAAGGTGCTAAGAAATCTCGTTGGAATTTTGGTTGCTAACGTTGGAATTCTTGTATATGTTTTGAATTCTGTTTGTTTTGTAACCTTTGCAATAGGAAATCATTATCAAATTACTGCTTGAATGTCTAAAGTCCAAAGAAGCCAAAATGCCAATTCTCACGTTCTGTACATGTTATGAAGTTTTAAACAAAAACTTTGAGCCCTTATCCGTTAGTTAGCAATTTTGTATACAATATTGATAAGGTAAGATAGTCTCTTAAATCTGTAAGCTTGTGGGGCCCACTTTGTGGCTTACTTGGCCAACAATTCCCTCCAAATATGACACATTATTTTATAATTTAATAGTCATCAGTTAAGACATGAGTTGCTGCCACGTTTTGGTGGGTTTAAATCTATCCAAATTTTATCCACCCATTTCCTTAATTACATGGTTAATTTTCCATCAAAAACTCACAATTAACCAAATATCCACATAATTATAAATTATCTCAATTAACTTAAAACGCTACTCACTTTTAATACACTTTATACACCTTACTATCATGGCCATGTAGTACCCTATATGGCACTAGTCCGATATCGGATATTTATAGTCCGGACAATATTTTATCTCAAAATGCCAAACTTCGACGAAATTCATTTTCATCGATTTGCTTACCCTCTTACCTTCACGAATTTACTTATCACTTGCTTGCAATAGCATAATACTTATAACCTCAAAATAATCTCATTCCTAAACTTACGTCGATTAACTTACGACGAAACTTTAACGTATGAAAATGTGGGATGTGACATGTCATTTCCCGAGCTTCCATCAATTTATTTATGGCGTACTTTCATGTACGAAAATATGGGGTGTAACAGGACCAATAGTCCGAACGCCCGAAGGTGTCAAGCCAGTGGGGTACAAATGGATTTTTGTGCGAAAACGAAATGAGAAAGGTGAAGTCGTAAGATATAAAGCACGACTTGTGGCACAAGGGTTTTCGCAAAGGCATGACATTGATTATATGGAGACATATTCTCCTATGGTAGATGCAATTACCTTCAGGTATCTAATAAATCTGGCAGTCCATGAAAAACTTGATATGCGGTTGATGGATGTTGTCACAACCTACTTATATGGCTCACTAGACAATGAAATTTTTACAAAAATCCCCGAAGGATTTAAATTTCCTGAAGCACATAAAAGTTCAAGAGAAACTTGTTCAATAAAGCTTCAGAAATCCTTATACGGATTGAAGCAATCAGGGAGGATGTGGTACAATCGCCTTAGCGAGTATTTGCTAAAGGAAGGGTACAAAAATGACCCTATTTTCCCTTGTGTCTTTATTAAGAGGTCTGGATCTGAATTTGTCATCATAGCTGTGTATGTTGATGACTTGAATATCATTGGCACTTCTAAAAAGCTTCCAAAGGCTGTAGAGTGTTTGAAGAAAGAAATTGAAATGAAAGATCTTGGTAAGACAAAATTTTGTCTTGGGCTACAAATTGAGCATGTACCAAATGGAATTCTTGTCCATCAATCGACATAGACTGAAAAGGTTTTAAAGTGATTTTACATGGATAATGCACATCCATTACGCCAATGGAATTGTGAGATCGCTTGATATAAATAAAGATCCATTTCGGCCTCAAGAAAATGATGTAGAGCTCGTTGGTGATGAAACTTCATATCTTAGTGCAATTGGGGCACTGATGTATCTTGCCAACAATACCCGACCAGATATTGCTTTTGCAATAAGCTTATTAGCAAGATTCAGCTCCTCCCCAACAAGAAGACATTGGAATGGTGTTAAGCATATATTTAGATATCTTCGGGGAACTATAGATATGGGATTGTTTTATTCTAATGAATTCAAGTTAGAAATGATTGGCTATGCCGATGCAGGTTATTTGTCTAATCCACATAAAACCTGATCTCAAACAAGCTATTTGTTTACATATGGAGGTACAGCTATATCATGGCGTTCAATGAAACAAACAATAGCTGCCACATCTTCAAATTATGTTGAGATAATAGCCATTCATGAAGCTAGTCGGGAATGTATTTGGTTGAGATCAATGACTCAACATATTCAGGAAATGTGTGGTTTTCTTATGAAAAAGGATAATCCAACTACACTATATGAAGACAATGCTGCTTGCATCGCTCAACTGAAAGGAGGATACATCAAAGGAGACAGAACAAAGCACATTTCACCAAAGTTCTTTTTCACGCATGATCTTCAACAAAATGGTGAAATTAATGTTCAACACATTCGTTCATGTGAAAATTTAGTTGGTATGTTCACTAAGGCATTACCAACATCAACATTTGAGAAGTTGAGACAGAAGATCGGAATGCGGCATCTTCGAGAAATAAAGTGATGTTTTCATGAGGGGGAGTAAGATACACGCTGTACTCTTTTTCCCTTAGCCTAGGTTTTGTCCCACTAGGTTTTCCTGGTAAGGTTTTTAACGAGGCAGCAAATAAAGCGTATTACAGATATGTGTACTCTTTTTCCTTCACTAAGATTTTTTTCCCACAGGGTTTTTTCTTAGTAAGGTTTTAACGAGGCATATTATTTATTTTTGGACATCCAAGGAGGAGTGTTATAAAATCTTTAGTAAATGTGGATGTCCACTACTCCCACTACTTTCACCCATGATGTAAATAACCTCCCACTACTCATCGCTATTATGATTGTAACTCCCACACCTCCATAACCCCTCCCCATGATCTTCCCCCATGATCTCAATAGTTAATGTCATGTTTAAGACAATCATTTTATAACCTTCTATGTAATAGTATAAATAGAGGAATGAAATGTGATATGGGATACACTTGAACATTTGATGAAATAAGAAAGTTATCTCTTCTTCTCTTATTCTACTTATCTTGTTGTTTTACATTGTTACTTTGAGCTACATTTCTTTAATATTGTTGTATGTTATTTTATATCTCTTGTGTAAAAATAAAGACCTCTTATTAAAAAATTATATATAACTAAAAATAAGTATGTAAAGAGAATATATTTATTGAGAAACATAAATCATACATTGATTTGGTATTATAGTATTATATTAAAAAGGTAGAAACATTAACGAAAATGCATGAAAATGAGAACCTGGTAAAGTTCTCCCTCTAATATGTACTAGTGTTAAAATTTGCTATTATTTATACTAAATGGACAAGATTGTTTTACCATCCAAAATTACCAAAGAAAAAGAAAAATCCTTTTGTTACGTTAAATTGTGATGTAACGAGCTAGAAAACAGAATTTTTTGCGCAGCAAGTCATTTCTTCTTTCTCAATATCCCAATACTTGAATTTACATTTGCAGATATATAGTACAATTGGTCAAATCCTAATATAAACTTTATAAAAATAAAAGGGATATATATACAAATTGTACTACTAAACTAGTTTAACATTATAGTTAATAAGGTCAGCAATTCTTTTTGAATTGTCAAAGGCCTAATCCCCACAGTAGCTGTGCTGATCTTCCACAATATGCATGCCATTATCGCCGCCAATATAAGCAGACAAATTCAAATACCTCTCAGCTTCTTGCTCAGCTCTCACATCTCTCCACCTTGCCCTGCATATCACACAACTAATTGATCTTCTTCTGTTACTTCTCTTCCATTGCATCAAACATTCTTCATGCAATGGATTTCTACATGTCCCACAAGCTGCCACTCTTTCTCCCTTATTCATCGATATCTCTTCCAAACACACCGGACATGTAACACCGTCTTCTATCTCTATTCTCAACGGCGAACTTTTTGGTCGTTCCTTAAAATACGTCTGGTGAAACCTGTTAAGACATAATATAATTAAATAATTAAAATTAGGCTACGATATAGTTATATAATTTAATACTATGATATTAGAGTAGACAAGAGGTCCTGAGTTTAAATCACACTCTCGCCAAAATAAATACTACTACTACTATATTTTCACTTGTTTGGCTAATGAAAGAGAATTAAACAGAGGTGTGAGGAGCATGTCGAGACATGATATAATTTAAATATTAGTTAGAATTGTGGTCCTTCTAACCTTTCTCGAACGTTAGGGTTTGCTAGAGATTCAGTGGAGATGGGTAAGCTGAGAAGGCGTTGGAGCTCGCATGGCCGGATAGTTCGCCGGAGAATACACGTGTCGTCGATTGAGACACCCAATACGCGGATGAGGACAAAGAGGATGTGTTTGCATGGGGTGGTTCGATCAGGACAGCTGCATGATGGGGTGGTGGAGAGGTTAACGGTATATACATTTCCGGTTGCGCCTAAGATGAAGAAAGTGGTGTCGGAGTGGTGGAGGAGGCGGAGATGGTGGCTCACGGCACGGATGATCCTGTCGGCGACTGGTTGTGTTGGCATTAGATGGCGGCTATGACGGTGGTCGTGGTGGTCGGAAGGCGTAGAGCTAGACCCGATGGATTCCATACTTTTGGAAATTATCGCAATATTTTTGGAAAGCTGGAAAACTTTTGTTATGGAATTTGGTTTTGGTATGTTTTGTAGGAAAGGAAATTAAGTGTGTGGCTAGAGATTCTTTGTATAGTTTTGAGGGGTAGTTCTAAGGTTTAGGACAAGTTAGAATATGGATATATTTGACTTAGTTCTTTCTATATATTTCTGGTAATAGGTTAACCTTAAGGCACGTCATTTAGATACCTGCGCTCCCAAATTTTTGAAGGAAAAGATAACTTGTACTGAAGATGGATTAAGGAAGTTTCGTGTGGGTTTATCCAAAAGCTTATGAATAGACATCATGTGCAACCAGCTTTTATGAACAATATTTCTTCATCCGCGGTTGAAGAGATTTCATTCCGCATCATGTAGCGAAATTTGTGTTTTATTTTCTTTGAAGGTTAACTCTATATTAAATTTCTTTTACACTAGTAGATCACTTAAGAATTTTTTAAAGATAATTATTGATAATCACAAAAATTTATAATAATTTATAAAATAAAGTAAATAACCTTTGACAAATAAAATTACATTAGTGGTATAAGCGGTGGGCGGTCCTATATTGTATGTGGCTTGTGGAGGGTGCACAGGGCTAGCATTTGCAAAGTAGTTTGTAAAATAATTGCAAAATAGCCACATTTTAAAATGGTACCGAAATAGTTGAAAAATAGCTACACAAACTTCAGAGAAAACTTCATGGAATTTGAATTGCCGCAAATAAAACTAGGATGGTATCCAAAAATTTAAAACTTAATAAATGTTAAACTATTGCAAGTGAAACTTGTTTACCGTGAAAATGGTAATAACAATTAAATTTGATTATGAGGTTCTAGAAATACGTAACCTATTTTTATGCTGGTTGTTAGCAATGGATGCTAAGTAAAAGGTTAGAAATCAGGATTATAGCTTAAAAACGTTATGATAGTCGAACCAAACAATTAAGATCGGGGGTCCCGAGCCGTCAATTGTGAGGCCTCGGGGTCGAGCTGGATGGCCGATTCGGGACAGTTGAAAGGGGGATAGCAGTTCTGAGAGCTATGATGATGGCCCTTTATGATCAATGATAAGCAATAAATGAAGAATAATAAATAGAACACAATGAATATAAGCAACAAATGAAGTAGTAAAATCAAGAGAATATGTTAAAGAGCAGAGAGAATGTTCTTGTGTATTTAGTATTGAGCATCAGATGTCTACAAAATGACAAGGATTTTCCTTTATATATGAGGAGGAACATAGTACAAATGCATTAATTACAAAGATATGGGGAAGGTATAGACACTTAATGCCCTGATACGGGTCAGAGCTAGCCTCTAGACTTTGTCAGCCTTAGTCGTGCGCTTAGGGAACTTCCCACTTTTCTACCATAACCGTCGACTTGCGCTCCCTCGAGGTTGGACACCGATGGCCCCTCGGGATAACTCTCAACCGTAGTCTCGAGCCTTTGGAAAGCTTGCTCACGAGGCGTTGTAATGGCCAAAAATTGGACCCTCCGATTTTACCGCATACAGATAGTCCCCGCGTTTCTTAGAGTGGAACGATAGGAAACAACTTTGATATCCATCTCTTCGAACTTGCCGCAATGATCTCATACTTATGGTGTGAGCCTTTGTGATAACTGAGGAGTCCCATCGGTTCATCTTTTCAGTTTCATTCAATGTCCTGCCGATTCTTATTCTCCAAAGCGATAATATCGCCGTCGATTCGGTTCCCAAAAAATGCATTGATTGTGCCTGCTGATACGTCTTTCAAGGGCATTGATAAGGCCGCCGGTTACACTGCCACCCTTTATCTACACTTTCAAAGAATCTGAATGCGTGATTCTACTGACCGGTACGAATACCGAGCCTGGGCGTAAGCATTTCTCTGGCTCTTGATTGATTAATACAATTCCCCGTAGAAACTTTTGCCGTTCCTTGGACCGGTTCTGGATTGGGTTGATGAACTCGGGCCGTCAGGATTCCTGGCTTCGAGTTGAATGAGAGTATGGCTTCGAACTTTCGGAATGAAACTTAGCTATTTAAACCCCGTGATACTCCTCGAGAGGGAGTTTGCTTGGGTGTCTGAGAATAGAGATAGCTTGATCTGAAGACGAAAGATAGCCCCAAGGCTTTATCGGTAGCTTTTGAGCGGGAGTTGGCTCGAGCTTAGGTAGTTCGAGGTCCGGAGAATCGAGTAGACGATCTGTACTCGCAATAGCTGGAATTCTCGAAGAAGGGTGCCACCTCGAGGTCAAGCTTATATATGAGCGGCTCATTTTAGAGCTTAATTCTTCTTGAGAGAGGCCCTCGAGATCGGGTACCATCTCGGGACTTGCAGTGATATTAATGGCTTCTTGGAGCCTATCTTCTTTTTGGTAAAGGTCCTCGAGATCGGGTACCATCTTAGGATTTGTAACGATTTAAATGGCTTCTTGGAGCCTATCTTCTTTTTGGTGGAGGTCTTCGAGATCGGGTACCATCTCAAGAGTTGCACTGATATTAATGGATTTTTGGAGCCTATCTTCTTTTTGGTGGAGGTCCTCGAGATCGGGTACTATCTCAGGACTTGTAATGATATTAATGGCTCCTTGGAGTCTATCTTCTTTTGATGGAGGTCCTCGAGATCGGGTACCATCTTGAGGCGGCATCAAGTGTACGACATGGTTATGAAGTGACCGAGGCGATTCTGCCAGCATGTATTCCCTAAGTGATTAAAGCTTTGGCCAGTATTTTTAATCAGCATTTGAGGCAGGCAGATCGTCACCGCTTTTTCCATATATAGGGTCGTCTTTGCCCTTTTGAAGATTCCGCCATTCTGAGTAGTTATCCTCTTTTCCATAGTCATGGCTGCTACATCAAGATCCGTCCGGCAAGGGGGAGAGAGTTTTGCCTCCGGTTATTGCCTTGTTGGCGGAGCGCCGCTGATGACAGGCGGGCCTGCCTCGGGGCATTTTGCTTTGAAAGGGGACTTCTCATCAGAAAGGTCTCCCGATGCTCAGGGTCAACGGGAACATACCTTGAAGTTTACTTCTTTGATAGGAGAGAGACACTTTGAGTCGGTGAAGAAAGACTGTGGATGGGGGGAAAAGGTAGTACTGCAGATACCTTCCCTAGAAGAGAGCATCGCGGACCGTGTCGAGGGTTTTTTGAATGTGTACACGTATCCTTTTACACTGGGCCCCCTTGATAGGGTTGTGCTTGACTTCTTTCGAAATTATCAGGTCACCTTGGTGCATATTCACCCGTCATTTTGGTGGATAGTGTTGACGATGAAGTTCTTTGCGGAGAAGGCAGGGCTTAAATTCACGCTCAGTCATCTTATCAGGATGTACCGGCCTTTTCACCATCGAGGTCTGCTAACCTTACGATGCCGGTCGACCACGCCTTTCATTGTTGATGATGAAGAAGACGGAGATCGGGAGCGGATGAGCCGATTCGTCCGAGTACGGACTGTTGATATTATCCCCGTGGAGTTCATGCCATTCCCTGAGGAATGGAATTTTACACGTAAGTGGTACACTAGTGCCTCCGTAGTTTTTTAATTATAGTGAAGGTGGGTTCCGTGAATGCGACTTCCCTTCCTCTTCTGTAGCAATTTCATGGATGCCGTGCGAGGTCCCTGATCTGCCGGATTGGGATTGGGAGTCAGTGACGCACTCGACTTGTGATGAGCGTAAGTGGCGAGCTTTGTCTCGGGGTAGATGGGAAGCAAAACATCACGGTACATGTTGTGTGATTTGTTCCCTCCTTTTTCATTTGGAAAGGCACTTTCTCTTTCTGCGTACTGACTCTTGATTGTAGGCATCAGGGAGTTTCTTGGGGCGAGGGCATGCCCTCTCGGAGAAGGAGAAGGATTGCCAGCTTCTGGGCTAAAGAATGATAACACTGAGCAGAAATGCCTTTGCAGGGCGACAGTGTTCAAAGCATAGCTAACCCAGATCGGGAGCTCAGAGAGGATGTATTGACCGAGCCTGCTACGCCCGTGATTTTCGGTTTTAGAAAGGCGGTTTCTCCTCCATCGTCGTCTTCCTTTTCCGTGGACGGTGCTTCGAGTCATGAGGGTTATCTGCCGCCGACTCTGTCTCCCATCGAAGGTGCTTCGAGAGATACTCAAAACTCGGGACCGTATACGCTGAGCTACCATGGCCTGATCGGGATCAGCTCTTCTGGGGCTGAGGGAGCTAGACTAGCAGATGTGCGCTCGACCATCGAGGAAGCTCAACGGCTTCATTCTGCGGTGAGTTTTGGCATAGGCCTTTTGAATTTCGCGCCTTCCCTTTCTTATTGAGTTTTCTTTTGCAGGCCTTTGATAAGCTTAGGTCCGAGCTACTTCGCTGTGAGGCCAGGCTGCGAAAAGCTTTGGATGGGGAGAAATCCCTTAGGCTCCTTTATGACTCAAGGGAAATCGAGTTGGCACGATTATGGTAAGAGGCGAGCCGAAGCTTGGATTACGAGAGCTACCTGAAGGAGCAGGTAGTTTATATTCCAAGGGAGTGTGTGTTCCTTCTTCTAGCTCCTGAGGATAATGTTTCATTTATTTCAGTTGTAGAAAAAGATGGAGGGCCTAGAGCGCCTTTGGAACGAAGCTGGCCGAGCCAAGTGCGAGTATGATAAGTTAAAGGCTCAGGCGGACGTTCAGGCTTTAGCGGGGAAAGGTGCTCTGGCTAAAGCCTCCGCTTTTGAGGTTCATCTTCGCTTCTTTCGTGATAATAGCTCGGTTAGAACAAATATGATTACGAAGCTCGAGTCTGAGCTTTTCAAGATAAAGGCCGAGGTTGTGGATACCCGGGCTGAAGCCGTAATGAGCCGAACCAAGGCTGACCAGAAAGTGGCGGTCTATTTGAGGGATGATGTCGATGCTCAAGCTGAGCTGAGGAAGACTTTTGTCCGCGAGGATAGGATCAAGGAATATGCTCGGTGTAAGTCTCGAAGAAAAACCCTCTAGGGGATCCATGCTAGGGGCTTTGACCTCTCGGAAGAGGTGAAGCGGGCGAGGGCGGATGAACGTGGTGCTAAGTTACTTATGTCCGACGCCGAGGATAGCGAGGATGAGGCCGACAGGCCATATTCCCCAAGGGGGATGTAGATTTCATTTTCTGATTCTGTATATAGTACTTTCAAAGTACATTAGTAAATGGAGCTT